AACCTTTAATGATAAAGGTACAGCCGAATGGCAAAGTACGTCAAAGAAGACAGGACAGTAGGAATGACTTTCGACTTCCGTTATACTTCAAATAAACAAGAGCTGTACAAGACTGCCATATTGTCTTGTTGTATATATTGACATATATGTTTTTCAATCATTGTGGTTCCCTATGATTCTGTATCTTAAAGTTTACACCTGATGAGCCAAAAACAGTTACCGTCATTTCTTTTGCTTATAATCTAACTTTGGACCATCTTTGCTAACGATCTTTTTTAATGAGTAATAAATATATCAATGTTAGTTTGAAATTTTTACTGAATTGAACTTTAATAAAAAAAACGTTTTTAGCGCACAGCTATTTTGAAGTACAAGAAACCAACATTCGTATCCTTTTATCGCACTAGTAGGGCGGTTTAAATCCAATAACAAATACGCTTTTTTGTAAAGTGAATAAAAGGTTTTAAGGACAAATCTGTGGTATATCGCATCACATTACTTTGGTCACGCGAAAAATTTCTCTCTACCGCATATCCATCACTTAGATGCTGATAGTTCAAAGAAAAAGAAGATAAATATAAGCGAAAAAGCCAGACTATTGTAACAAAAGCATGCCATTGAATCAATGAGCTTTTGTGATATTATGATATCTCATATCTTCTCTTCACTTTTTCTCTTAATCTTGTCAATTTTCGCTTACTGGAATATGAAGAATCTAGGTACATAAATAGCGGGATCCCTTCAGGAGAAGGCAGCAAGCTGACTTTTAAACATACTGCTGTACTTACTTCATAGTGACTCGCGTTCAAATACTAGTAAATCTATAGAAGATGTTTAGCTTCTTCACAAATCGTATAGAGCAAAAAGGCAGTTATATTCCCTTTACATTTGTTACCAATTAGTATTGCTGTTACACCAGTTCCCTTAATTTTTTAACTTATCACAGCAATTCGACTGTGATAAATTTCACTTACTTTCTTTAAAAAGCAGAAAACGTTTTTATACACAGAAGGAGGAAAGAGCGTGTGAGAGTGAACGTGAGCATCGTCGATCTGTGTGTCAGAGCTCCGTATGAACTGGACTGACTCCATAGTCCAGTCAAGTCCACATGGACTGGACTGGACTCAGATTTTTTGGATTTCATGGACTCGGACTGAACTGGGCTCAAACTATCAAGACCATGGACTCGCCTGGACTGGAAAGATTTTGGATGGACTTGAATCGAGGAAAATCGGTAAACGACAAGTTGTTTTTCTTTTGTTAAAGGCGATTCTATAATACTAATAGAGAAGGAAAAATAACAGAATAAAAGTAAATTCCTAAAATGGCTCGAGAAGAATTAGAGATACACCCTACGAACGATGAAACCAAAAACTGTTTTTGTACAAGTAAAAAATAATATGTCAGTCTTGTACAGCTCTTGTTTATTTGAAGTATAACGGAAGTCGAAAGTCATTCCTACTGTCCTGTCTTCTTTGACGTACTTTGCCATTCGGCTGTACCTTTATCATTAAAGGTTTTCTTCTGCTGTCCGGATGGATATTCTTTCATTTTATAATCTTTATCATTTGGTCGGCCCGCTGGTTCTTCTGAAAGCCATGCATGTATAGGCGAAGCCCGTCCCTTGTCTCCACGAACATTCATCCATTCAATTTCATCACCATAATGCCCTTCTTGTCCTCTTTTTCATTTGCAGAATCAGCATTGATTGAAACTCGTATTTTCCAGGTCTTTCCACTTGCAGTTTGTCCCGAGAAATTATAATCAACTTGAACTACACGACTGACACATTATCCGAATGAAAACGATTCATGGGGCCATCTTGAAAGATTTCACAGATCCATTGCGTAGCATTGCTGGGAATGTCAATGTTTTTGATGAATTCCAACATTTTTTCTATCACTTGTCCATTTGCTTTACCTGGAGGTATAGTTTTGTGTGCCATTTACGTTTCCTGTCAATTAAAACGTAAATACATATTTACAGCATGTTGAAGAAAAAGTTAATTTTTAGGAACGGTTTTTTTATGAACAGAACCTTGATGGACACGTCTAGCATCCATAAATAAATCAGCCTTATAGATTGAGAAGAGATAGAGAAAAACGAATTTATTTTAGGAAAGTGACTTTTGAGACATCCTGTGTATTGGAAATTTATAGAATCAAAACTATAAAATCAAATTTTTATTTTGTCTCAAAGCACGAAACTTAGATTCAAATTTCATTCATTTTCCAAGCATATAAATTCACCTGAAGGGAAAACAGTGCAAAGAAAAATCAGGGGGTTTTAATAAACACTTGTTCTTTTTTCAAACTCAACAGTTAGATCCAACAAAAGTAATTTTATATGTGAACAGATCTTGCTTGGACGCATATAGCCACATTGGCTTTTTTCTGCTAAATGTAATTGGACACGAGTCAGCAAATAATTAATCACTTGAGATATTTTTCTTCCCAGAAACCAACCTTAAGTAATTTATTCCATAGCTTTTGATGAACTCTGCAAAACTGCATATTTACATTGTTAAAATAAGTCTCTGATTGAAACCTAAGAATCCAATAACTATTACAGCTTGACGGTTCTTTGCTCTTTTATGTACATATAAGTCCAGAATAATACTATAATGCTGTAGGCGCGTCGAATTTTAAGTTAAAATAATCGCTAGCACTCATGCTCCCATTTCACGTACAAATTAATTGGGTTGAACCTAAAAGTTTATACCGGTAGGGAACACTTATGCTTCCTTCGTACTACTACCTATGACCAATGTCCTATCCAATATATCGATGAGCGCAAGATTTTAGAAAAGCGGAAATCTTGTAGTCATAAGCCCATTCTAAGAGCTACAAGAATACATCAAAATTCTAATACATGATTTTTCTTCGTCAAAATGGTAAGCAAAGACTGGGCTGGTGTGACTATATGTAAAAGTAAACTATGTCCATGTTTTTATCATCACATCTCGAAATAACATTAACTTATGCTGAAACCTTCATCAACGGTTTAAAACAATATGGGCAATAGCCTGTAATAACTCTCGAATGAAATAAGTTCTTATAAAAAGAAAAGGGTGTCATATTTCAACTAACTGAACCAAATCATGAACAATCACCAGTAGTTCGACCATGAGTGGCCCGGGCTCAATCTTACTTGGCCTTAAACCAAAAGATTCCCCAGGTCATTTAGGTACGGCAGGAAACGGACGAAACGTGAAATTTCCGGCGATTCTTAGCGGGCAGATCTGAAATTCGTTCCTAACACGTTTTCGGCGCGTTTCTGAGAGAAGGATACGTCATTTTCTTACGATAAAGGTATACGCATCGGAACCCATCGTTTCGGACACCAGGACCCTGTCGTTTCCAGTCTGGTTACGATGCACGGATTAGCTTCGTGATATATATTTTTCCGTTACTAGCTATCATAAGTTCCAAATCAAAAGTATTAGGAGTATTCTAAAGGGAAATCATTCTCTCTCAATGATTGCGCCTAGTTTGAATCACGGGAAAAGGAAACAAAGAAAAGACGAATATGTATTATATCGGATGATTTATAATCGCTGCCGTATTTCATATTATGTCTGGAAACGTATTAATCCTGAGTTCGATCAAATTATAAAACGAATGTGTGAAGGGCTAAATCCAGTTGAAGCTCATAATGATGAACATGTACGTCTTGCAGGTTATTTTTCTTCAAGCAGTTTTAGGGTTCTGTTTGTTTTTTTCTGTTTAGATAGAAATAATGGAACTAGATAACGATTCTTCGAATGGATCAACCGAGTTTGAAATGAGTACATCTGTTCAGCCCTGCATCATGCTCCCGAAGAGAAAGCCGGGTAAAACATGCTGAAATCTCTGCGCTGCATAAAGTATTTCTAATGTCAAGGTGCCCTAGGACACTTTTTTCACTACTTTATATATATATGAAATTGTAGCGCGAGAAATTCTCTATCGAATGGTATATGTATCGTCGTGGTTAGTGGACAAGTGTGGACCACAGGATCGTCACCGTTGAACAAAGAAGAGCAGAACTTTGGTTACAGTAAATTCGACCTAGTTTTTTCTTAGAGAAACTCCAAGGTCTGCCGAGTGGCTAGAAATGTTCTGCTGTTCATTCTGCATCTAACCATGTGTGTTTCGATGGAATTCAAGCAGGGATCGATTCCGTCAAATAATCGCCCCCGTCCTTTAGAAAACGAAAAATAATTTCTGTTTAGTTTAGACGTTCGACGGCTTAACACTGTATATACTCTTGTTCTAATCTGGTTCTTCACACTTATTGTATAGTTCGCGAGTAGTCGGTATCGAAGTATTTATTTAAAAAAATTATTCTGAACTGTAAAATAATAGCATTTGATTGTTTGAAAAAGTATTGATTTCTCGATCCATCGGCGAGCACTAGACCTGTGAAAAAGTGAAAATCCCAGTCCCTGATTTGACACTTCGATGAGTGTGGTTGTGGGTAGAGTTTTCTTCTTAGCTACACCCAACTATACACCTCATCTAGACCTGTATCCACATGCTAACATTATTGTTCATCTTGATAAATGGAAAAATGGTTTCGCAGATAAGGTTCAGTACGAAGCCTTTACCAGGAAAATCCCAATGGATTTCGAAGAAAAGGTTCTGTACTAAACCTTTGCTGGAAAAGGTCGAAAAGGTTTCATGCAAGTGGTTCAGCACGAAACCTCTACAAAATATTTCGCAAAAGATCTCGTTCGAGTTTATATCCGGGCAGAAGCTAGACTGCGATGAGATAAGAGAATCCACTTAAGGATGCTTTTCAACAGTTGTTCCCTCGAAGATTATCCTCGTTTTACTAGAGTTGTAGTTGAATGTTAAGGAACAACTCTGAGTAGCTCACAAACCGGTTTCGAGTTCTATTCCAGTGTGTCAGGTAGCTCTGAGTTGAGCATGAAAACTTCCCAACGAACGAAAGGTCACAAGTCTTTCTTTAGAAAGTTTTCGAGATATTTCTTGGAATTTATAGTACCACAGTTATCGCTAGATTAAGTGAGAGTATTTATAGTTAAGATTTCGTAAACGGTGCATTATGTTTATAAGGAGACTCTTCCAGAAGCTTGGGGCATGAATGTGGGTGTCGTTGTTTGTGTAGTTCATGAAAGTGAAGATACCTACACCCTAGGCTGATAATTGTACAGAGTGTAGCAGTGCATTGATGAAACAATTTGCATAGTCATCAAAAAATTGTATAAATCTAACAGAAAACTATTAATGAAACATTCTGATTATAAGAAACTGCTCAGTTTTGTAGCAAAAACCTGTAGGCATGCATCGATTATAACCAGTATAATTCACCTTTTCTGAAAAAAATTGCATGAAAAGTACTCATGTTATAATTTTTCTGTACACTAGATTTTGTAGAGCAAACATTTTTGTACAAGATGAGCTATGATAGAAATCTCTATCTTTTCTATTTCTGTTGCAATCGCTTTCAATGGGGAGTCTTGCATTGCGACTAGAAAACACGTCGTGGGATGACATATATCTCGCATGTACTCAACGTGGGCTGTACGAAAAACAGGTGTTTGTCTTTGGTCAAGTACTTTCAGGGAAAAGTATTTTTCTAGCGAAAGTACCACTGGATTTTCGTTCGTTTCGAAAGTACTTGACCAAAGACGGACACCTGTTTTTCGTATAGCCCACGTTGAGTACATGAGTGAATTGCAAGCCATTTGTACCGTTTGCACGGAAAAAATGGTCTCGTATG